TGCTTCTTCTGGGACTCCTATAATATTAGTGTTATTACATTTGATGGAGTCACCGAGTTCCCTTAAGTCTATTCTCATTTTGCATAATTCTTTTTTCTTTCTTTTATTCATCTTGATTACTTCCCATTACTCTATCTTCTAGATCATTAAATCATTCCTCTTCTTCTTCCAGCCTGCTCTTCATTGCATCAGATGTGCTTCTAATCTCATGTATTGCACTCTTCATCTCTGATTGTTTCTTTTTTATCTCTGTAGTAAGGGTCTCACTGATGTCTTCCACTCTTTTCTCAAGTCCAATGAGTATCCTTATGATCATTGCTTTAAGTACTCCATCAAGCATGTTACTGTTTTTCTTCGATCTCTGGCTGTGGACTGTCCTGTTTTTTCATTTGGAACAAATTCCTCTGTCTTCTCATTTTGTCTGAGTTCCGGTGCCTGTTTCTGTGTGTTAGGAAAGTCAACTACATCTCCTGTTCTTAAGGGTAATGGCCTTATGAAGAAGAGGTCCTGTCATGTTCCCTCTTCCCCAGAGCCTAGCACTTCAAGGAGTATTTTCAACGTGTGCTGTGTGTGCTCTGCTGTTTCATCCTGGCCACTTTGTCCTTCAGGCCAGTCATTTGCCGAGACCTGAATGTGGCACATTTAACTAGGTGTGCTCTGGTCTGCTTGTGAAATGAGACCCATTGTCGCTGCTGTTGGAACCTAAGCCCTGCAAAACTCCTGGGACAGAAGATGCAGTGTTGGCAGGGGTCTGGACTCGTCTTTTGCGGGGTGGGCACTCACCATGATTGGACTGAGGCAAGTGTGACTGGGAAGGGCAGTTTTGCTGGAGTTGGGGATGAGAGTGGTGTAAGCAAGTTAGGTAGCAAGTGTCAGCGCTGAGCCGGTTGCCACAGGTAGCCCTGTGCTTCTGCTGGGGGCAGGCAGGGAAATGGCGCCTTCCAGTTCCTTTGTTTCCATAGGGGTCTCTCAGTGAATGTTGCCTCTCTTGGATCCTCTCTGAGACGAGTAAAATAACCTCCCCTCTGTGTGCCTTAAGTACTCTTCAGATTGCTTTTTCCGCGCTGTATGGATGTTTGTCCGTGGGCTGTTTGCCCTGCCTTCTCTGCAAGATCAGTGTGATACCCTCAGGGCTCTATCGCAGCCAAGCCTGCCAACCTTTAAAACTCCAGGCTTTAAGCCCCGCTAGCTCCTTGCAAGAAGTCATGAAATTCGGCCTCTTTTGCTTTCCAAACGAATTGCTATGGAGACCTGTCTTCCCCACATACTCCCCCATGTGCCAGCCCATCCCTTGCCCCCTTCTGTGACCTCGGCTCCTTCCCCCCGCCAAGAGGGGCCACGATCTGTCTCTCTCCCAAACCACATCTCTGCAATTCCCACCTTCCTCAGTGTGACCTCCTCCCAACCTTCAGTTGTGGAGCTTGTTCTGTCAGTCTCCTGGTCGACTTCTGGGGCACTTAGCATGATTTGACTGCACTGGTCGCATTTGTGGGATGAGGTGAGCACAGGGTCCTCTCATTCTTTTGCCATCCCCTCACAGAAAGGGAAACTGCAATTCAATGAGTTTTAATCAGTGCATACACCTGTGTAACCCACATCTCTATTATTTTCAACACTCCGGAAATTTCCCCTGTGCTCCTTCCTAGTCAGTCACTTGCCCCTTCAAAAGGCAAAAACATCCAATCTTTTTCACCAGAGAGTAGATTTTCTTCTAGAATTTCACATAAATGTAACCACAGTATTGTCTTTTGTGTGTGTGTCTGACTTTTTTTCTCTGCATAGCATCTGAGATTCATCCATGCTGTTGCCTGTATCAATAGTTTATTTCTTTTTATCACTGAATAGCATTGCATTGTGTAAATATAAATAATTCGTTTGTCCATTTCACTTTTAATATGCATTTGAGTTGTTTCCAGTTTGAGCTAATTTGAATAAAGTTGCTAGTCTTCTGTTGGACATAGGTTTTCATTTGTCTTGGGAAGGTACCTAGGAGTAGAATTACTAGGTCATAGGCTAGATAAGTTTCTTTTTTTTTAAAGATTTTATTTGTTCATTTGAGACACAGAGATACAGAGAGAGAGAGAGCACGAGCAGGGGCAGAGGCAGAGGGAGAGGGAGAAGCAGGCTCTGAGCCAGGAGCCAGGAGCCAGGAGCCTGATATGGGGCTCGATCCCAGGACCCTGGAATCATGACCTGAGCCGAAGGCAGACGCTTAACCATCTGAGCCACCCAGGTGCCCCTAGATAAGTTTCTTTTATATGTTTAAATAATGCTGACATTTAATGTTATTAACTATTCTATGCTGAAACCTTTGACAATACTTTTATCTACAGTTTGGCTTTAAAAGCTAATTAATGACATTTATATTATCATGACAATCTTTCATGGTGGGTCAAAGAGCATGCCAGGATAATATTTTCTTCTTTTTATTTTATTTTATTTTAAAGATTTTATTTATTTATTTGACAGAGAGAGGGACAGCGAGAGAGGGAACACAAGCAGGGGGAATGGGAGAGGGAGAAGCAGGCTTTGTGTGGAGCAGGGAGCCTGGTGTGGGGCTCGATTCCAGGACCCTGGGACCACGACCTGAGCCGAAGGCAGATGCTTAACGACTAAGCCACCCAGGCGCCCCTATTTTCTTCTTTTTAGGGCCGTTAACATTGCACTCTTTCTTCCTTTTGCACTTCCCCTGTCGCCTCCTTCCTTTTTGGACTGGTTGTCTCCTACTCATCCTTCAGGCCTCACCTCAGACTCTTCTCCTCCTACAAGCCCACCCTGACCTTCCCAGTATGGGTGAGATGACCCTCTAAGAACTCCTTCATTTCCTTCTATCATGATTTGTGTCACCCAGCTTTGTGAACATTGGTATAAACGTCCATCTTCTCTTTTCCATTGTAAGCTCTTGGAGAACAAGAATTATTTCCTATTTTTCTTTGCATACCTGTTCTCTAAGCATGTTTGACATAGTAGTCCCTCAGCAATGTTGGTTGAATGAATAACCAAAAGTGAGGTAACTTCCTCAAGGTTCATGGTGAGTTAAAGGTGGAACAAGAAATTTGAAGTTTTGTTTTCAAATTCACTGTTTTCCTCCTAATTTTCTGGGTTAAGCATTTATTTTTTTTAATTTTTTTTTTAAAGATTTTATTTATTTATTTGACAGAGAGAGAGAGAGCGAGAGCAGGAACACAAGCAGGGGGAGTGGGAGAGGGAGAAGCAGGCTTCCCGCCGAGCAGGGAGCCCAATGCGGGGCTCGATCCCAGGACCCCGGGATCATGACCTGAGCTGAAGGCAGACGCTTAACGACTGAGCCACCCAGGCGCCCCATGGGTTAAGCATTTTTTTAAGATAAAACAAAATAAAACATTTTCCAAACTTATTTTAGATAAAGAGAGAAACTAGTAAATCCCTAGACATCAGATGTAAGTATCCCAGAGACAAATAGTTGGGACCAGTGGTGGTATCATTAGATTGCCGTGGAAATAGACAGCAGAACCTGTGAGTTCAGAACCTCAAGAGAACTTGTGTAGCTAAGGCAGGTAAAAGGTGAGAGTAGGACCCATGGGGATGAGGATCTCTGGGGACACTGAACCCCCTCCCCAGGGCTGCTCTTCCTGATGAGGACCGAGCACTGGTATCAGTTACAGCAATAGATAACAATACAATTTTACCCACAATCTACACTTAGGTCACTTTGCTGGACTCTTCAGTATCCATGGTAATGAGTTGATCAACTAATTCCATACCTAGATTATACTTGAGGGGAAAGAGCTGCAAAATGTACAACAGTATTTATAGACAGACATGTGTGGGCAATAATATTGTCAGTCACTGTCAAACAAAACAAACTGTATTGTTGTTTTCTCCCCCAGCCTTTGTTCTAAGTGATATTCAGCTACATTAAAAGCTGGGATGGTACAGTGTTCAGTATTCTTTAATTCCTGTTGAGACTGAAATGAAATTCTGGCTATTAAGAATTGCAGAATGGGACCAAACAAAACAAAACAACAACAAAAAAACCCAAAAATGATAAATATGACATCAAAGCTTCTGATCAATTCACACTCTATCATCTGACTTTTATTTATCATATTTTTCTAGACTGCAGAGAGGTTGACTAAGGCACATCAGTGAGAATGGTAATAATAGTAAATCCAGTATTCCTGAGTTCAACCCAGGATGTATTTATTTTTCCTAAGAGCAGCAGTAGTACCAGAGTTTGGACAGATGGCCAGCGAAGCAAGATTTTTTTTAATTCAAACTCTCTGCTATGTTTATAATAAATAATCACAAGTTTTGATTATTGGACTGTTTTTTAATCTTTTCTAGGAGTTAAAACCTCCCCCTCTAGACTTCCATTTGTTTTCTTTTTTCCCTTCTGCTTGCCTTTTCTTTTTTCAGATTCAGCCAAGTTTCCTAAGTCATGTTGATTATAGATTGGAATCTGATTTTATGTGTAGGATATATTTATGATTATAAAACATTTTTAAAATCTGACACCCAAAGACTTTTAGCAAAATTTAATCAATCCTTTTTCAATTAGTGATACCAGACAATGTCACAACATTACTCCAAAAAAGAAAAGTTGTATGCTTTAATTTTTTACAAGAGAATTATTTTTCATTTCTCAAAATGACAAATAACTTAAAACAATAGGAAAATTGATTGGTCGCCTTCAGCATCATCACAATTAATTTGCTGAGTTAAAAAATCAATTACCATAAAAGTATTGATGAAAATACCTAGCATCTTTGTAGTACTTTTCATCAAATTTTGCAGACATGAACTATGCTAATTTAAACCCTATAAATGCAGTTAGTACTATATCTATATTAATAAATACATAATATTAAAAATAAATATTACTTTCAAAAATGAGTAAGGATCCTGTTCTTTCTGAGTAGAGAGAGATAAAATTCAGCTCAGAAACTACCCTTTTTGTTTGTACATATAGATATAACCTGATTTATTAGTCAGAGCTATTTTGTTTTCTCTTCTTTCAGGCAATCTTGGAAGGGGAATTATGAGTTGGGAAGCACAGAAGGGGCCAACCTAAGGTAAGTCCCAGCTTTGCCTGTAATCAGATTAAGTAACATCTTCATGTTTTAATTGCCTCTTTAAGCATCTCCCTTGATTGTTGGTAATTTGCTCCATGCCATAAAGAGGATATATTTTATAGGGCCTGGCTTCCATGAATATCAATCATGACTTTCTTCAAATTAAGAGAGGTGTTTATGAATTGGTTTGTTTGTGCCTCATTATGTGAGATGTCTGTCTAAAGACTTTATATGGAGGGGATATAGACATTAGACCCTATATATTTCAGCTGTTTTTCTTCACATACTCTTCATTTGAGATTTTTTTCTAGTATGTTCTTTTTCAATAAAGAAGTAATTACATTTAGATTTATATAAAAATATTTTATCTATACATATTTCAGTATATACATTAAAAAATAAGGACCCTTTGGGGCTCCTGGGTGGCTCAGTCAGTTAAGCGTCTGCCTTCGGCTCGGGTCATGATCCCGGAATCCCAGGATTGAGCCCCATGTTGGGCTCCTTGCTCAGCAGGGGCCCTGCTTCTCCCTCTCCCTCTGCCGCTCCCCCTGCTTGTTCTCTCTCTCTCTCTGTCAAATAAATAAATAAAATATTAAAAAAAATAGGAACCCTTTTAATTAAAAAAAAACCTCTCATTATAGTTCTCACATCTGAAACATTAATGACATGAATTTAAGTTTTGAGAAGTTGGGAAATAGGTTGGTCTATATTATAACCAATATTAGAGGAATTGCCAGTGACAGGTATAATAATAGTCATTGATGAAGAATAGGGGTTATACCTTTGCTGAACCTGAAAATATTCTCTGTTGTGACTGTGGTATCAAATAGAATATTTAATTCACATAATCATTTGATATCTCCACTGAGAAGCCAAAGGAAATAAATGGGAAGATAATCTGGAAAGAATTGTGGGGTTATTTCAAAAATGGGTCTTACTACAATTGAAAGTCCTCTATACCTTTATCTTATCAATCCTGTTAATTCCCAAGTTTGAGCGAAACCCCATTATACATATTCAGTGCCCTATTCCTCAGTTACTATTTCTGGAGTTCACTTTCTGTGTATTACTAATCTAAATTCTGTCAAACCTTTAATGCACTTTGGTAGATTTTTAATTGATCTGTATTTGATTTCCTATCAGTTTACTATTGTTTGTGATCGGTCTGTCACATCAGGTAGAAGATAGAGAGTCAGACACATCCAGATGAGTCCCATGAGGACTACCAAAGGGCAAGAGTATAGGGTATGAAGCTGGAGGGCACATTTCAGGGATCAAATCCTAGTAGGTACCCAGACAGTGAGATCAAAGTCACAACTTCAAACTTAGGACCAGATAGAGAGTGGGAATTGAACAACAAATCAGTAAAAAATTATCTGGAAAATCCCCACATATTTGGAATTTAAGCAACACATTCTAAATAATCTATGGGTGATAGAAGAAATCACAAGAAAATTTGGAAAATATTTTGAACTGAGTGAAAATGAACATACAACATAAAAACTTGTTGGATGAAGCCAAAGCAATGCTTAGAGACAAATTTATAACATTAAATGCTTATATTAGACAAGAAGAAAGGTCTCAAATCAATGATCTTAAAAAACCTGAAAAAGAAGAGCAAATTTAGCCCAAGATAAGCAAGAGGAAGGAAATAATGAAGATAAGAGCAGAAATACTGAAAGAGTAAACAGAAAAACAATAGAGAAAAATCAGTGAAATTAAAAACTGTCTCTTATGAAAGATTAATAATACTGATAAAACTTTATCCAGACTGAGCAGGAAAAAAAAAAGGGAGAAAACACATAACCAATATTACAAATGAAAAAGGGAACCTTTTCAGATCTAACAGATCCAATGAATTAGATTATGTTTTTTATACATTCAATGAGTCTATCCTTAATTTGGTTTCCATCAGCACCAGCATTTAAAGGATAATAAAAGTATATTATGAAAAATTTATATAAAATTGACAAACTCCTTAAAGAGATCCAAACCACCAAAGCTCAGTGAAGAAGAAATAGAATACATGAATAGCCCAATATCTATAAAAGTTATTAAATTTGTATTCATTTAGCTGGGTCCACACTAGATCCAAAGCTACTGTGCAATAAGATGGTCAAGGCTGTTTAACAAAAACTCTCCTACTGTTCTACTGATTCCCCTTAAAATGTCTCTTTGAACTCATCTAACCAGTTTTCTATCCCTCTGGACTTTGAAGAAAAGCATTCCTAGTCACTGATTCCCAAATATACTTGGTTTTGTTCATGCAAGCAGGATGATAGGAATAAAGTGAGTCATAGAAAACTTCACAGAGGAGATAAAATTTGATTTGGTTACTAAAAGATAAGGAGAAAAGGTTGTACAGCCATTATAGAGCTATGCTAGAACATTCTCGATAGACTCCTGTAATGGCTTCCATCCAATGGAAGGACCACAGAAATGGAAAGTGTATCCTAGAGTGCTTCATTTATATATCTGGAAAGCTGTTGGAAACCAAGATTAAGTAGAGACTCATTAAATGCCCAAGAAACACTATTGGGGGAAAGGTTTATTTTACTATAAGGATAATTTGGTCAGAGCAAGATTTTGAGGAGGATTCTTAAAAAGTTTTCAGGAGATTGAAGAACAAATTCTGACATGAATAAATGACTAGCTTGGAGACCTCAAACAAAAGAAGAATAAATAAGTATTTTCTAAATAATATAGAAGGGCAAATAGTGGAATTACCTGGGATCAGTACTGGAATGGGTTTATTTAAAATTTTTATAGATGAGTCAAAACTTCAAATTTACAAATTATATGACATTTTTTTTCCAGATGGAAGGGTGCCAGGTACACAGAAAATCTGAGGCAGTATCTCAGAGGCAGAGATAAAGGATAGGAACATGTCAAATGAGCTCCTTTCTGACAAACATAAGTTATTACACATTTATGTAAAAATAATTCAAACTGTATTCATAAAATGATGAGTTTTGGTAACACTTCCAAAAAGTAATTCAGGAGTTAGTGCAGACTATTCCTATTCTCCTGTTTTTAAAAAGAATATTAAATACATAGAAAAAGAAGACAAAAAAATTTTAGTGTGTTCTTGTGAATATATTTTAACATCATTAGAAATGTTCCTCAAGTTCCAACAAGTGTCACCAGGCACCATAAATTGCCTAGAAATGACATAGTGTTACATTATTCTTAGGATTCCATTAAATTACAGAAATAAGGAGTCATCATTTTAAGAAATCCAACAAAGAGTATCTTTGAGTAGATGGCAGTGATGAAGCACAGGTTGTAATTTGTAATTACATCTGTGAGTATAGTCACATATTTACTTCTTGATTTTAGTCAGCATGAAATAATTATGTGTTCCAGATTGGAGTGCATTCAAAGTTCTGTTTAAAAAGTTCATGCAGATTTCCCACTTTGCTCTAAGAAAAATCTGCTCCTAATATTATGTTCCCCTCTGGCATGCCATAAACGGACACCCTAGAGATCAGAATAGCTAATAAGTGGAACAACTTAAGAATAGCTTCTCACAAATCAAACTGGAACAAATGTGAGATCCACATAGCAGCAACCAAATATATGCTTCCCGAAATCATATATCACACATTTAAGCTTTAAGTATATCCAATTAACAAATTCAGGTTTGATCCTCTCTGTGGGCTTTAGTAATAAGTTTAAGAAATGAAAATGGCTTTACAGGATCAAGAAAACTAAGTAGAATATTAAACAAACAAGGAATATTTAACCCACATTTCCCTCATGGAATATGATAGCCATAATTTTTCTTTGGTTTAGGCCTCATATACCTGAATGCAGCATTTAGGTAAGCATAACAAGCCTTTCTAGCTTTGCTTTCATCTTTTTTCAGCAGCTTGTACATTTATGATTTTACATTAAAAATCATACTTGAAAATTGCTATCATGGCTGCTTCTTCAGGTAGATCCATGCTTAGGTCAGGCAGTAAAAATGTTCGTGGGATAGGGTGGGACATAAGGAAATTGAATTCATGATGACAATTACAGGTGATAAAATTCTTGTTTTCCTGCTCAGAATTCTAAGGGGATCACTATTCAGTTGCCCTACCCCTACTCCAAATTCCCTCACCTTCATATACTAAGAGGTTTGTGTATGTATTAGGAAGTTCTTGAGGAAGGAACTTGGTCTCAGAGTGGTTTTGATCTCATAGGAAACAGAGGCTGAATTTATTAAGTATAAGAGCATGAACGTTCTATAGGTACACACTAAAATGCCTTCTGGTTCAGTGGGTTAACTCAGGTAGTCTCTAAAGAATCTCAGATTTGGTCTTTCATGCACACCCATAAAAAATCTCTGATACTGAGTGAGTGGGCTTGTTCTGGGTGGGAGAAATAATATGTCTGTGTGAAGTAAATGGTTCGTGTTTCTGACTTCACTTCATATATTATATCCTCAATGATCTATGATGACATAGCTCAGCAGAGAGCATTAAACTTAGGTACTATTGGAGATGAGCATCTTTGGATAGGGGAATGTGCCCAGGGCTTGGAGTGACCACTGCATGTGAGTCCTGGCTCAGGCATGTGACCAGGAGAAGTTCTCTGAACCAATCTAAGTCCCCTCATTTGCAGATAGTGGTAATATCAACAATAGTAACATGTCTACCCCTCTGGTGGTTTTCCATCATGAAGATGGAAAATGCTGTGTTTGAAAATACTTTGTAATTTGTAAAGCACTCTTCTAATGTTCATTATCGTTATTGTTCCTTGTATTTGATAAGAAAGCTCATGCCATTGCTGTTTCCCAGGCCAGTGTTCAGCTTGCCTTGGGATGGATTCTGAATTGTTTGAAGTGGACAATGGCATTTTATCATCACTTTCTGCTTTCTATGCACATGTAGTCTAGAAATACACAATGCAAAAATGCTTGGCAAGTATCAAGTCATTTTATCAAGTGTTGGGACCAATTTCTCTTTAGCGTCCTACAGCACTACTGTAAGCTCAGATTCCCCTTGGATTCTCTA